CCTAGCACTTCTACAACCCGGACGTCGGTATCAAAAAGAAAAAATGATTTTCAAACTTCGGCGTTTAAGAAAAACAAAAATACAGATGAACCGGGTAAAGAAACCGTGGTAAAGAGAAAACACCACCTACAAAGGATAGGCAGGAGAAATTACACATCAAGGAGAACGCGCACACGGCCACAGAGTCAGGTGCCAGCAAGGCCGCCGTTCCGGAAACTGAAACGCCAACAGGAGGCACAAAAATACGAGGAACAGAAGAAATTCAAGAAGGACTCCAGACCGGAGGACGTCAAGACCAGCCGTCCCAGGCAGAAACGCAAAGGCCAACAACCAGACGATTACTTACTCCGTCAAGAGGCCAGCATGTAGAGGACGCAAAAGAAAGAGCAACGTGGACGACACTCGGAGATCAATAAGGAGAAGATTGACATCCATGAAACCTCTAACTTGGGATCAATTTTGCCAAAAACGGATGACGGAGTTTCAAGCATCGAAAACTCAAAGATAAGTTAAAACCTTCTATAAATTTTTTTTCTCTTTTGTTCCGAAATGTTATGCATAAGTACGAAGTTCTATGTTTTGACGAAAGTCAATATGTCTCGGTTGAGACTTAGTTTTGTTTTACTTTATTTAGCTAAGGCAAAAGTATTATTTTCTTTAAGTGTAAAAGCTAAAAACAAGCATTTTCTGTTGGTCGAAAGACTAATTCTGTTATGTTAAAGCCAAAATTTGGCCGAAGATAAAAATAACTTCGTATTCTTGTATTAATAAGAATTTTAGTTTCAGTGCCGCCAGCTTGGCGAAGAATGAGTAAAGTAAAAATTTATTTTCTCTTATTCATTTTATGGTAAATTGTAAAAAGCATATGTATTAAAAATTTGTAAATGTATGTAAATACTTGAAGGTTATGTAAAAGTAGAATTTAGTCTAGAAGCATAAAATTGTAGATGCTAAAAGTGAATGCTTAAAAGCAATGAAGTCAAAATTTAAGTATTAAACTGTAAAGTCATGCTTTAGAGCGAAAGCCTGCATGTTTAAAGATGAATGAGGGGAAGTTAGAATGAATGTGTTTTGTAGGGTTCTCCACCTACATTTGAATTTTTAAGAATATTAAAGTAGCTCATTGAGTTGTAGAATGTCGAGTAAGGTTTGTCTATTTGGTCGTTGAATTCTAACAAATCATGGTGATTAGGGGAAGTGTTGTAAGACTAAAACACGAATATTCCCGTTTGACACCACACACGGTGGAGAGCCAGGGTAAAGTTAAATTAATGCTTGAAAAATTGAATGAATGTGAAGTAAGCAATAACTAAGAAAAACGAATCGTTTAAAAACAAAAATTTATTGTGTCAAGAAAGTGTAAATTATAATGTATGTAGAAAGATACTGATACTTATTCCTTCCAGATGCTGGAAGGAAAGACCAAGATTGATTGATGAAGTCCAGGAAAAGTTGCTGTAAGAAGAAAGCTTTGTAACGAGCAACAGAATTTTAGTATAATTGTTACATAAGATTTTTTTTTTTTTTTTTGTGTAAACGAGGTTCTCGCCAGTTAGTTCAGAATTAGATAAACTTACAACAGGTCGTTTTGTAGGACCTGCTTCCAAGTTTTCCAAATTCTGGCAGCGGCAAATGTAGGGTTTATATTTATTTTAACTAACATTTATTTTAAGTTTAAACTATCTTTCCTGTCAAGCCTTACTTTCCCCTGGAACTGCCAATGCCAGAATATGTAAATTTTAGTAGAACGCGCAAGCATTCAAATTATCAGCGGAAGTATTCTGATTTAAATAGGAAGGAAACAAGTTCGGTGAGAGATATTCTTACTTAGCGAGCGCGGAGGTAGTTAGCGAGAATTGAAGAACCCCGCGTTGCGGCCTATGTGCTTGGCGGGAAGTAGTTGGTAATTGTTTCCAGTGAGCTTCAAGTCTGCTGAATTAGCAGCAGTATTGTAAAACACGGTGAGTTAGTTATTTTAGAGAGCCTCGTAGTTAGAATCTTGTCTTTACTTTCTTTTCAGGTTATTATTTTTATTTGACTGCCAAGTTGGCACAGTCTGTAAGCGTCAAGAGGACGCAATTGTAATTTATTACGTTGAATAAAAAGGGACTTAAACCCTTCACAAGGCTCTATCTTTTATACAAGTTTTCACAGTCACCTCTTGGTTGCGTGCAAGTTGGAGGCGCGCAACGTTATAACACAACAAAAAGTGTAGAAAATGTTGATTAATACCAAAACGTGAATAAAAGTAGTTTTTCACATTCATAAACTAAAACTAAATATTTCACAGGTAACCAAAAGTGTAGCCGCATTCCTGCTTAAAACTATGAAATTTCATCCCAAAGGTGGGAATTGAGATTTTTAGGGTGAAAGTTCTTAGCAAGCATTCCTTTTTGGTTGAGAATCCTTTTTGTAGTCATTTAGGTTTATTTCGGAGCAGGATGCATGGCAAATTAGCAATGCATTCGCCTGGATTCAACTTTCTGACCTCCTGATTGCTAGCCGGACATGTTTCCTTACAGTATGTAGGTATGAGGTAAGGAAGGAAAAAAATTCTTATAACATTATTAAATTTCAGTTTGATTTTTAGTTGTAAGAATGAAAGAGTGATACTCCATCAAGGTTCAAAATTCCAATAGTGAAGAAATTTAGAATGTTGGAAAAAACCTTATAAAGACAAAATAATTAGTTTCTATAAACCAATTTCCTTCATTAATTGCTCACACATAGATGTGTGTACGCAGATGTACATCAAGCACTGTCTTGGATTGGATGGACTGATTGATTAATGGAGCGCATTCAGGCTTTTTGCTCTAGGAGAAAAGCAATTTCTTGGAAGATTTTTTAAGAAAATCGAATCATAATTATATTAAACATGCGAAAAACCAGATAACATACTTACGTAGGAAATGAAAAACATCGGTAAAAACCTCATGCAATTTTCACACTGAACCACCGAAAACTGAACTTAGGGCGAACTCCCAGTGTTTTGCGGTTTTTGCCTCGTAGCTAATGATCAACCTCGAAAAGTTTTTTTTTTAATGTAAATCGATATCCTTTAAACTATAATATTCAGCAACACTTTGCTTGAATTTAAATGTGTTGTGGCGAGAATCGAAAATGAGAGAGAGAGTAGCTAAAGTCAGCTAATTGCAGTCAAATTTCCTCTATTTCTGAGAAGTTTTAAACCTAATTTGTTAATCACAATTTATACAGCAATTAAAGCACATTTAATCAAATTAAAATTGAATTAAAAGGATCTTTTCTTTCATTTAAAAAATAGTTTTAGGAATTTTAACGTGAAAGGCGATTTAAAAATAATTTTAGTACTATACTAAAGAAGTAACTTTTAAATTCAATCAACGTCCTGGGTACTTGATTTATAAAAGATTTCTCTACGAAATTGATCCGGGACTAACTTTATCAACGTACCTAATTAAAACGGTAGCGTACGATTAGAGAGGATTAATTGGTTATCTAATTATGGAAAGCATGTTAGAGTTCTTGACTCAAAAAGGGGAGTTTTGGTAAGGAAAGTGCTTCGTATTCCTGTTACGTATAGGGAAAACAGTGAATATCTAAGGCAGTTAACATATTCACTGGGAATCAAATAAAGGAACTAACTACTAATACTTTGGTGGCTCAGCTATTGGTGGGCAGTGTAATAAGGGTAAAATATAGAGAAAAGGAAACTACTATACTACTATAACAATTTCGTAGAACTTCGTACAGCTGGAGAATAAAAAAGGGGTGGGGATAATTACAGTTTGATTTTCCAGCTTCAGAATAACACCTAAAGATTGACATAAATTTGTAGCCTTACAGTGTGAAACATGTATTTCGGGAAAAAGAAGAAATTAGTCTTACTAACGATGTGAAACATTTGTTCGCAGTTGCATATAATTATTCACCATTTGCAACATACTTAAGTCAGCAGTGGGAGTATTTAAATGGTAGTACGTTTGCAGACTCATTAAGCTTTCTCCCCCCTTTTTTTATGTGGAAGACATGAAAAACGAGCAATGCTCTTACCAGGACTCTAACCTGAACCTCTGGAATACGCGCCGAGTATGCTATCGTTGCATCAAAAAGGAGGGAGAAAGGAGAAGGTTGCTGGAAGGGGGGAGAAAATACTTTATATACTCATCCTTTTAAAGGGCGACTGGGGATTAAGGAACCCAGTTGGTAAATACTGGTGGTGACGAATTATTGTCAACCATCTTTTTCTTTGGGCACCACGTTGTAGAGTCATTAGGTTTCTTTTGAAGATGAGAGGTAAAATGGACAATGCCGTCGCCGGGACTTGAATCTGGGCCTCTCGAATACGCGCCAAGTATGCTTCCAATTGTACCACGAAGGAGTGCTAGAAGGAGGGAGATATTACCTTAAACGTTATGGGTTAAATTTACAGTGTCAAGACGTTTCTGTTATCCTTCATTTTAGCTTGTCCTTACGCATGATTCAACTACATTCCAAATCGTTAAAAAGCATAGGACTAGAATTGAGATGAATTCTTGTATTAAACTTTCAGTTAAACGAGAAAATTAGTTTTTCTCTTTTGTAGGTTTATGTAGATTAGATTTCAACATCTAGTTGATTGAATGACAAGAGAAAACTCCGCGCTACGCTGGAACTGCAAGATTACTTTTAAGCAAAAATCGATTAATAGTAGTAACAATGCAAAATATTTCATTGTTCGTATTTTTCGTTATAGTTGTTTTATCATGTCACATGTTCTTTCAAGAGTAACGTCGTATCAGTTCTCGTTTCATATTTCCTGCTCTTTTCTAAGATAGCCTATGAATTTTTATATCTAAATCTTGTTTTCTTCAAGTTTCACTATATAAAAATGTTGAAATTACACTAGATTTATTTCATTTTATATCTTGAAAGTCTGCACATCCGTTTATTAAAATAAATTTTATAAATTGTTCTTTTTTTTTTTTTTTTTTTTTTTTTTTTTCATTGGCTATTTCAATAATAAATGGCTCCTGACTTACCATAACAAGCTCCATTGCAACCACAAAGTAAGTTGAACTCTTATATCCAAAATTATCTACTAAAATTCCTCCTACAGAAGGTCCAATAAATGCTCTAAATTAAAAAATAAATAAAATAAAATAAAATAAAAGTTATCTGCTGCATTTACAATTATTAAGAGCACTGATTTAAATATCAAATGTGGCTAGTGGCTTACATCCAATTTTTAACTAATTTAAATGTTCTAAAATTTGAAAAAACTTACCCAAAACATGAAGCTGAGAAAAGTACTCCAGAGATTATACCGTAGGTACCAACATCATCTGGAAAACCTCTTTCTCTGAAAAATGGAGTATATTATTTTAACATTACTGCTTTGCCATTATAGGAAGCAGCTAACATATTAGTTCATTAATATTTATTGTATGATAATAACTGTGCTTGGCTGCAGTGACAGAAATCACATTTCAAAAAAATATTTTTCAATAAAATTTTGTTTATTTTAATATTTATTTTGCGTGCAGGTAGGAAAATACACTGCCAATCGGTTTTTGGGGAAATATGCAGAACAATTAATGGACGTGCATTTAGGAAATACTCAATTTGCATATTAAAATAAATATTTAAATATGTATTATTTAGTAAATGCCTTTCATATTTTAGTTTCTCAAAGGTTAATTTGCGTTCATTTGCAAACGTCCTACTAAAAATACTAAAGCTGATTATTCCACCCGCTCCTCAAATAAATTTACTTGGAAAAGTTCTGCATTTTATTTTGTCTAAATTCTTTAGCAGAAACAGCTCATAGTTATTTATTAAGTATTGAGCTTTAAATTAAAGAGTTTTTCATGGAGATTACTATCTAATAAATTTTGAAATGCGTTTCTATTCAAGAAGCAATACTTCAAACTTTCGGCATCACTTAGTATTTTTGTAAGCAATCTGAAATTTGAATCAGCTTAACATGTACTTATTTAACTATTTAACATTACTTTACATATTTATTACTTTGGCTTAACATGTACTTAAATATATTTTACTCTTTTCGTATACTCCTCAAATTGCTAGGCTGAACTAGATATTAGTTCAGAAGTCAAACAACAAAAATCAACGTTATATTTTCAAAATTTTCTCAGGTCTAGTTTCGATGGTTTTACCGAACCACCATCCTCAGCTGCAAAACTGCAAATGAACAAGATAGGAAATAATGATTAGATAAGATCAGAAAGCCTAGACAAAAATAAGCAAGTGGCGCCATCTGTTGATGAAACCAGAACTAAAACATAATTTCTTTAAAGGCCGAAGGCAAGACGGGTTGGAATTAGGATCGTTAACTAGAACAGAGAGATTTTTTTGAATGTGAAATTAGCTATAAAGTGTGATCAATTAGCTATAAATTTGCACATATTTTGCAGAAATTTAACTTTCGGGTTGTGTATTTTCCCATCAATAAAATTCCGAGTTCCATACTCAAGGACCCCATTCCGGATATGAATTCCTGGGGTATTTATAGGATTCCTTGCCAGTGGGGTTCAATTTACATTGGCCAAACTAAGAGAGCCTTAAAATTTCGCGTCAAGGAACATGAGGCATATGTTAGAAAAAAGGAAACACAGAAGTCTTCTGTTGCTCAACATTGTTGATCCGAAAATCACACTTTCAATTTTTCTGCTGCCAAAATTATTCAAAAAACATCTTCCATTGGAGAATTGGATTTTCTAGAGGCATTTCACATTCAAAAAAATCTTTCTGTTCTAGTTAACGATCCTAATTCCAACCCGTATTTGCCTTCGGCCTTTGGAGAAATTATGTTTTAGTTCTGGTTTCATCAACAGATGGCGCCACTTGCTTATGCTTGTCCAGGCTTTCTTATCTTATCTAGTCATTATTTCTTATCTTGTTCATTTGCGGTGTTGCAGCTGAGGATGGTGGTTCGGTAAAACCATTGAAACTAGTCCTGCGAAAATTTTGAATATATAACACTGATTTTTATTGTTTGACTTCTGAATTAGTATTTATTCGGCGTGTTATCGTGTCTTAATTATTAGATAGGAGTTCTTCAGCAAAAATTCTTTCCCTTTGCAAAATTTGGACTCAGGCTCTGTCCTTATTAAAGCGCTCCAATACTGTGAAGTATAGTTCATTCCACCAGACACCGACTTCAAAGAAATTTATTTCTTTAAAATATTTATATGATACACAACTAGTTTTTTTGTATGAAATCCTTTTTTATAGTTCTGGATCGATATACCAAATTCCATCCTACGATTTACTTAACTGAAACTATTTCTTATTCTAGTTTATTACTTGTAAATATATTAGGAAATATATAATACAGTGGTATTACTTACACTGTATGCTTCATGCCATGTGTAAAGCTGCAGACTATCTTCATTGCCATTCCTAAACCCAATAGGAACTGCGCCACTATTACGACTGATAGATATCTAGAAGGAGGAAAAAGAAAATGACATTTCAATATTTTTTTTTTTATTTCACACAATTAACGAGCCAATTATTATCTGTAAACACAAGGAGGTTAGAATACTCAAAAGTGTACTGAACTCTTTCCACTATCCGAAAATTAAATGTGTTTGATGAGCAGTCATTTTATTTCAGAAAATGTGTCTGAAAGCCTGTGCATGTGCTTGCATTTATATATTTATTTAAATTTATAAGTATGGATTTGTAAGAAATAACTACGAAAATTTGCAATTAAAGACAAAAGTGCTTTTAATATATTTTTTCTTCTGATAGAATAAAAATACACGTAATTAACCCTATAACAGAAATTATAGTGAAATACTGTGGAATTTTAATGCAGTGTATGTAAATTCAAGTTTTTTAAACAACCTTTATACGCAGTTGAAATACTTATTTTAATTTCACTTTCTATTTGTTAAGCGTTACTTTTAGATATTTACTTAAAAAATTTTATGAAACAAATATTACAATTTGTTCGAAAAATTATCCCAATTTATAGCAAATGCTGATTGACATTTCAGATGAACTATAATTAAAGTAATCGCAAGTGTAAAATTGTAATTGAAGAAAAAAGTAAAACTTTTATAATACACTTTTGTGCATTTGTTATTTTATAATTTATAAGGTATTTCTCCCACCTTCTTAGCGTGCCTTCGTGGTGTAGCGGTTCTGCACGCTGGGCGGGAATTCCAGATGTCCGTGGTTCGATTCCCGGCGAAGGCGTTCGCATATTTCTCATCTTTCCTGCTTCAAATTACCTAATGTCTCTACAGTGGCGCCCGAACTAAAAGGGTGGTGGATGTTGATTTCTCCCCACCCAGGATTTAGTGATTGGGTCCCCTAAAAACTCCAATCGCCCTTTAAAAGGGGGAATATATAAGGTATTTCTCCCACCTTAGCGTGCCTTCGTGGTGTAGTGGCTCTGCACGCTGGGCCGGTATTCCAGAGGTCCGTTGTTCGATTCTCGGCGAAGGCGTTGCATATTTTTCATCTTTCCTGCTTCAAATTACCTAATGTCTCTACAAATTTACCTGAAAATAAGCAATATTTTATGCACAGTATTTCTTCTATAATTCTGGGTATTACAAAATTAATGTTTTAGACTTCGAAATGAAAATGTTTTATTTTCTTTCGGAAGAATTGTATTTTTTGTCAGTTACGTAGCTTTTTGAATTCGCTAAATCTCCATGATAAGAATTCGAATTAATGTGATCTAAAATTATTTTGTTTATTTATTTAGTATTTTGCACAACAATTAGTTTAAACAATAAACAATAGAACAGGCTTCTGCCAATAGCGCGCTAAGAGATTCTTTTTTTTTAACTGTGATTACAGAAAGCATTTTTTTACTGCAGTTGTCACTATGATGTTGAACAGTAATGCTTATAATAGATTTGTAGGTATAAAAACCCCTTTTGCCCAAAACAAAATCTAAAATTTTACCTACAGAAAAATCTTGTCTATTCCCACCTGATTTAATTTTTCGCTCCATCACATAGTAAAGATAGATAATTTCTGCTAAAAATTATTTTTCCTGTAAACGGTCAATTTTAAGTTACTTTTTATTAAATTAAAGGTACTTTAACATGACTGAAATGTTACCACAGAAAAACTTCTATCAGCGATCACTTCTGAAATCGACCAGTAGTAGAGAGTAGTACTAGTGGTTAGAGTACACATAATATATGATCATCACTTATGTCTGTCACTTCTACAGAGGTCTGAAGGAAAATTCTCTGTATCTGGTAACACAATGAGGAACAATGTGAAACAAAGTACACTTACGTTGGAAATGTCAAGAAAGGCACTGGTCCTACCACAATGAAGCAAACTGTAAACATCACACAACCGACAAGTGTCAAATACTGTGCATTTTTCTAGGAAAAAAAAGTTTTGTTTTAATATAAAAAATCATGATTGTTCTTTAAATATAAATCTTAATTTAAATAAAACGAAATAAAGTACTGTAATGTCTTTATAATTTAATCATCGTAATGTTAGAAACAGTTTAGAAACCGAAATGGAAATAGCTAGGCACTGTATTTTAAATACCCTTAAACCGGTACATCGGTTTCTTAATAAACCGGTACATCGGTTTCTTAATAAATCGCTAAAAATAGCCTAGTTTTTAAAGGTCAGTGGATTTTGACATATATTAATATTTTATTGTACTTATATATCTTTCTAATTCCGCCGCAGGTGTGTTAAAAAAACTCTGATAAATTAAAAATAATCTGATATAAATTGTACATGGATGAAGTTACATGTTTTTCTGACTTAAGAGATAAAATCGATGAAATTTGACACTGAAACACGCTGCTATAAAAGCGTTTATAATTCGCTGACATTCCTTATTCTGTCTAGATCTAGATATTATCTCTTTTGTGTTATTGAGTTGATTACTTCTGTAAGCCTTCCGTAGCGTAGTTTGTGGAACACGAGTTTTTCATTTGTTTTCTCAATTTAAATATCCTATATAGATAACGTTGACGTGACATTGAAATTCATGCTGGACAAAAAACGCGATCTCAGTTTCAAGTATGATAGAAACAGAGAACGTAAGATGATATCAATTTTCGTTATTTAGTATATCAGTTTAGTAAGATAGATGCCAAAATTTGAACATGATAACAATCAAAAATGCTTAAAAGAAAGGTAAACTACACGCTTAGACAAAAAAAAAAAAAAAAAAAAAAAAAAAAAAAAAAAAAAAGACGCATCAAGAAGGAGTTATTCGAATGGGACGAAAATCGGTAGAAATGATGTACATGTACAGAAAAACAAATGATTACAGTTTAAGAAAAATTGGATGATTTATTGAAGTGATAGAGCTTCACAAAGTGAAAAAGTCAGTAACGCGTTTGTCCACCTCTGGTCCTTATGCAAGCAGTTATTCGGCTTGGCATCAATTGATAGAGGTTGCGGATGTTCTCCTGAGGGATATCGTGCCAACTTCCGTCCAACTGGCGCGTTAGATCGTCAACATCCCGAGCTGGTTGGAGGGCCCTCTCCATAATGCTCCAAACGTGCTCAATAGGAGAGAGTTCCGGCGACCTTTCTGGCCAAGGTAAAGTTCGGCAAGCACTAAGGCAAGCAGTAGAAACATGTGCAGTGTGGGGGCGGGCATTATCTTGCTGAAATGTAAGCCCAGGGTGGCGTGACATGAAGGGCAACACAACGGGCCTTAGAACTTCGTCGACGTTCCGCTGTGCTGTAAAGCTGCGACGGATGACAACCAAAAGGGGTCCTACTATGAAATGAAATGGCACCCCAGACCATCACGCCTGGTTATCGGCTTGTCTGCCGGAAGAAAGTCAGGTTGGTATCACACCGCTGTCCGGAGCGTCTCCAAACTCGCCTTCGCTGGTCATCGGGGCTCAGTTCAAAGCGGCACTGAAGACTATTCTACTCTAGTCAGTGACATTCCAGTGCGAATGAGCCCGACACTACTGCCAATGGGCTCAACGTTGTACAGAGGTCAATGATAGTCGGCGCAAGGGGCGCCGTGACCTCAGCCCCCTTTCTGTGAGCCGTCTATGAATGGTCCTTGCGGTCACTGAAGCATTAGTTGCACATATAATCGATGATAATGATGCATCTGGGGCTGTGAGTGCCGCTCTGACGATTGCTCGGTCTTCACGTTCTGTCGTTTCTCTAGGCCTACCGCTTCCTTCTTGACGCTGTGTGCGGCCATGGTTCACGCATTCCTGCCAACATCGTCTAATAGTGGCATCGCTCCTACTCAAATGTCGAGCTATTCGCCGATAAGACCAACCGGCTTCTTTGAGCCCAACTAAACGACCTCTCTCAAATTCTGACATCTGCGCATATCGTTCGCGCACCTGTATGCGAGGCATAGTTACTGTCTACCAGAGTACACGGAATTAAATTCGTGAAGAATTTATTATCTGGAATCGTAATTTCTCTTCTTAAATATCCTGCCAGTTGCGCAGATCAGATGCGCTGTAGCGACAACCGTTCATTCATTGGCAGCCAAAATGTAAAATTTTGCATTTTCCGTCGAAACCTGTATGCATATCAACTTGTGCCCAATTTGCTTTATATCTTCTTGGCGTATCATAGTGCGTCTTTTTTTTTTTTTTTTTTGTTGTTGTTGTCTAAGAGTGTGTTTAGATGTTCTCCGATATTTTTTTTTTGAAACTCAAAAACTGGAATGACGCAGTCTATGGAATTTTCAATAAATACAGTCAAATTATAATCACGAATCACTTCATATTTTATGTTTCAGTGTAAAATTTATGTTCTTATATTTTTTATAGACCCCGATATATTTTGAATGAAACGTCTTTTTTGTATTATTTACTCTTATAGTTTCAATAAATTTTCTGGAAGAAAAAATATAGATATATTATTGGTAAAACAGTTTAAATTGGCAATTATGCTAAATTACCAATAACTGAGAAATTCGGTAAATTTACATTTCACCGAACAAGCATTTACAGTTCACCATGAATTAGTCACCGAGCAAGTATTAGGTTCCCTATCGACCAATATGAGCCATAATTATGCATAAGAACTAAAAATTAGTTCAGAAAAAAATTGATATAACGATGAGGACGTGGACACGGCTGGAATAGGAACTGAGAACCTCCTGCTCCTGACTGGAAATTAGTGGATAAGACTACTGAATACTCTAATTCGTTTGGGGTTTGATTTTCGGCAACTTAATGGACTGGCCGCATGAAGTTCTCGTTGTTCCCAAAGGTGTAATAATTTGTGTAAAGATGACCGATTTCCTTGTGGAAGTCCTCCATAATAAGACAGATAGCCTTCAAATTTTCTCTATAATAAATAATCAGTCTAACCGTATAATAGACCATGTTCCTATTTCTAAAGTGGGGCAACGTGAGGATATAAGCCGATTGCAGAATATTCATGAAGATATCAGGTGTGTGTGTGTGTGTGTATGATTATGGCAAAGACTCGAGGGATATCTGCCTAAGGGGAGGGATGCCTTCATGGAGGACTTTCTAAGGGAAACTGGATCGTATACACGTTATCCATGGGGAAAACCACGAAAACGCCAATGCAGCCAGCCCGTTCGCGGAATTCGAACCTCGGACCGAACTACCAGTGTTCAGCGACTTTACCGCTAGGCCGCTGGTGGGCCGAAGATATCAGGAGAGATATGTTATTGGCTTCGGAAGCACTGAAGCAACAAGTTTCTCTTCAGAACATGACATGTGGCATTCGAATGAAAGCTGAGTCCATATCATTACAGATTTACATAAAGGACGCCAGTTTCTTAACATCTTCATAAATTCTTAACTTAATAGTTATGATATATTTTACAACGTAGTGACTTTAACATCTGATGAAATTGCATAGCTTTAAATGCATGATGAAAATAAATACTAAGCATTTTATTATGTTTCTACATAAATGCAACTGATAATTAGAGGATATCTTTGGATAAAATGCAAAATTTTTTAAAAGTGCTGAGAATAATAAAAAGGTATAATTAAACTGAAACAATATCTTTATGACTATGCGTCTCAAAAGATCTAAATTTTACTTTATTGATTAAACATCGGATTTCACTTTTCTATAATGCTTATAAGGTTTTTCAGATCAAATTAGTAAAGAAAAATTTCATTTTGCTTGTTAGCTTCAACAACTGGTGCGAAAATTTCCAGCTTTAAAAATTAGTCAGTTTCATGTGCGTTGTTATAATATAATTATTAATCTTATTTAAGAAAGGAAATAGTACAGACAGATTTCAGTTCTGGAACAGTGTTTGAGTAATTAGATTCTTAAGTTTATTTATTTTGCAGTTTATCCGTAGGGTATTACAATTATTTTTTCTTATAAAAGTTTAGAGACATTTCAAATTATACAAAACACTGTTATTATTAAATTTAATAACACTAATAATTTAAATGAATGATTTAAAATCGTAAAAGCTTTACCAGTTTTTCTGCGCAGTATCCGACCAAAGGTGAGGATAATGCATCAACTATACCAGCAATCAGAAATATTGTTCCTATTATTGTAGGTGTCAGATTGAACTGAAATAAATTGAATAAATTTTTGTTAAACAGATTATTTTATTACAATTTATTTCAATATTTATATGTTTACATAGCATTAGTATCTAATTATCGAAGTATATACTTGTGATTTTTGAAACGTACTAATGTGAGGTATTTACTATCTTTCAAATAAGCACAAGCTATCTCGGAAACTTACTTTTGTGTTACAAGAGATCCGAAACTGACAGGTAGTCTATCATGTAATTGTACGTAAAAGTCTAAACACTTGAATTAAAAAAAAATCCACTTTATTAATTTAGTTACTAGCAATAGATAGTAAATCATACTGTATCCAATATTGTTATGAGAGTTAAGTCTCTCTCTTTTTTATAATTTTATTATTATGATAAATCCTCGCAGGAAGGAAATCTAAACATTTAGAACCACGTCATGCTTTCGTAGGATGGTATTATTCACTCTCAGATGATGAAAAAAAGAACGAATGTCTTTTTTTTTTGTTTTTTGCCTCTCTACTGCAAACTTTTGTGTCTGGAATGTAATTTTTCATCTCTAGAAACAAGATTTACTGTATGTATATATTACAGAGAACATATTAGGTATTTCTCAAGGAAGAAGTACAAATACACGATTTTTGGAGTACAGGAATCAGTTAAGAAGTTTGTTAGTAAAGGTTAATGTACCTGAGAAGGTTCTAAAAATATACTATTTCTTTCCTTGAATTTCATCTTAGTTTCGACTGCGCAGTAGTTCCGATAGAAAACAAATTGTGGTGATAAAACAGCTCGCTGATAATTATTGTATATAACAAAAATTGTTTCCCAGATTTCAAGGCTGCATCTTGTTTTTGAACTTGATCTTATCAATGTCTACTCGTGTATATACTCGAGTACGAGTGTATTTGATTGTAGTATACTATCAATGTATACTACAATCAAATACACTCGTGTGCAAAATTAAGACTTACATCGAATTTCCTAAAAACTAACAGCAGATTTTAATGAAATTTGGTATGAATATACATTTATAACAGAGAAAGAGATGTACCATTCAAAGTCATTTTGTGTACGCATGATTATTAGTAAAGCTAATAGTGCAGTGATGTTCAAAATCCCAAAATCCACGTTGTGATATCGAACTGAAAATCAGTCAAATATGGGGTATGACTCCCTCTCATGTCCAGGCATGTCACGCAAAGTGACGGAATACTGGACAGAAGATAGTTGAGGAGTACCTGAGGTAATCGATCTCACTCTTACAGCAAGGCAGTTTTCAATTGCGGGATGGTTTTCGAAGGGAGGGTGTTGGTGTATTGAGAATACAGCAAAGCACACTAGGGCTATCTGCCTAAGGGGAGTCGGAGGGAGGGAGGCGAGATTAAATTGCCCTTTGAAGAGTGTCCCACACATTCTCTGTAGTGTTAAGGTCAGGAGATCTGGTTGGCCAATCCATGCGGCGGTTATCCTCAATTTCCAGATAATCATCGACCAGCTGAGCCCTATGTGGACAAGCGTTGTCGGAACTCAGGTCTTTCCGACCCTTTTGATTCCCTGAAACGTCGAATATAGGGTTCTAAGATCTTCTTTCTATACCTCATAGCAGTCGGGAATCTTTGTCGAAACATGCAGGGATGTGCGGCCGTCCAAGATAATTGCCTGTCCAAACAATTACTCCTGCAATTACTTAACCCTTTCCGGCACGCTACTTTTTAAAGTCGGACTTTTGATAAAAAATAAAAATATAAACAAACAAAAAAAAAAAAAAAAAAAAAAAAAAAAAAAAAAAATAGGCAGTCTAATTAGGCCTAGAGGAGTACACAAGTAAAATTTTGTGATGATAGCACTTATCGTTTTAATTCTGTGGTTGTGCCCAACGTGGCACACTGATTGAATAGAGCTTCGAAAAGAGTGCTGAAACGAGCTTCGTTGTCAATGAACTGACCGGTGAGATGCGGAAAAACAAAGAATACAGACTCTCAGTTGTCCTAGATTATCGATGAGCTCGGTCTGGGCACACCTAGGGTTCGCCGTTTGATTTTAGGCAAGATTTCAAGATAAAAATTTAAAAATAATATAGAATAAGGAGATTAGCATACAGCCAAAAAATAACATAGAAATTTCTTTTCAAACAATTCCTTTTATACCCTAAAAAAATCTGGAAGATTTTTTTGAAAAATGAAGGTCTTAAAAAAATAAACATGGCTAAAATATATGGACTGGTTTGTGTTGAGCTTCCATCTACTATAAATAAAGAAGGTTCAGAAAAACTTATAGTAACCTATAAATCCTTTTCCATTCAATTTTTCTGTGCGTGCAAAAGGAAATTTTTAAGTGTGTCCTGACCGGACACACTGCGCCGCAAAGGGTTAAGCCAATGACTTCTGACCTAAGCTGTCAAAAGACAACAAACGGAATACGTCTTTCCACAGGAAAAAGAACTTCTACCTAACCAGCTACCACAACTAAGGTATGGCCGGCCAATCAGTCGGCATTTATTGAAAACAGTCAGTATGAAGTTACATAGTGTGTTACATTTTGATATCATGCACAATTGTACTACGTAAGATAGAGATAAAATACACTTCGCGAAACCCTGATAAATAACTTTTACATGTTAATACGCTGCCCCAATTTGTCCAGAAACTACAAGTGATTCTATTGATTTACTGATAGCTGATTTTCAAAGATGCACCATGACTAGTTATATTGGAAGACTTTAACGTAACTTGTAACTTTGAAAGTAGTCACTTTGAGTTAAAGAAGTTAGTAATCATACCTAAGTATACTTTCATATGTTTTATTGTTAAACATAATTCGAAGATGCACATGTCTGTTCTATTTGTCATGCAGTGTTACTTTAAAGCAATATGATTATCTCAAAGGTGATGCTATTAAAAGATACAGTCTTTTTCATTAGATAAGTAATATCACTTTTGTATGTTAGCACAGCAGATATACACTTGTGCCCATGGGGTAAAAATATATGAAAGCTAACTCCACTAGAGCCAATATTAACTAAATTAATACTGCAATGATTCATATACTAATTTTAAAAAAAATGTTCTTAATACAACAAGGTAACTGTATATATTACAAAGTAAAGTTCAACATAACCTCAGAAAAGATATTTTAACATATTAGATTGAAGTAAAGTTCAACATAACGTCAGAAAAGATATTTTAACATATTAGATTGAAAGCACTAGGAAACAGAAACAAGAATTTTAAAATAAATTTATTAGTTAAAATTACAATACTGATAAAGCCCACACTGGATCTTTAATGTGTTAACGTCGTGATACAGTTAGTGTTTAAGCACTGCAAAATGACGTGACTTGCTGAAGTTTATTTAATCCAATTTTATTGTACAAGAGACGCTTAAATCAGTAAGGGCAGTTCTGTGCAGATTATTGTTTTATGTAATTTTGTTTAAAAACTGAGCAATGGAAGACATAATATTCCGGATCGCCAACACTGTCATATTCGAAAAGGTTGGTTTAGCTTGGGCTAAACTATTATAAATATGCCATGACTGGCCATGTCCTGCGTTAAAGAACAATCAACTGATAAGTTAAGTGAATGTAGATTTGTAGAAACTTATGGTAGAAAAGTATAGATAGGCCGCTCAATCGGGATAGGCATTAGCGACGCTGATTGTCGTACTGAAAGGATCCCGGAGAATCCCGGAGAAGACATGGATGCTTGTTAATGTATTTCCGGCGTGGGGGTACTATAAATATGAGACGAACTGAATTCCTTTCGAGAGGATGGTGGTAGGAGAAGACGGGTGAAAGACCATTGGACCCGTTTCCCCCCGGGACCAAGGGACCAAGGCGTTTGGATTACGGAGTACCTTTGCAACTAATTGCAATTACCTCCACATCATCGTTCATAAAATTGAAATGAATAAGAGAGAAGCAGTCGCTAAAGCAAAGGCAAAACTGGAGACGGAACTGAGCAAAGTCGTATTGTCACCTTATGGTGTTCAAGGTTCTTGCCGACAAGGCTCAAGGCTATTGCCACTCATTGCCACGGTGAATTTCGTGGGCTTGTTCTGATGTTACTGTCATACAATTAAGATAAGTCACAACAACAACAGTATAGGTTCGATTACCTGTAGTTAATAATCCTTTACCCTTAGAAGGAAAAAAAAACATTTATAACAAAATAAGAAAGAAAAATGGTATATACAGTGGATGGACAAAAATATGGAAACACCTTGTGAAATGCATGTTTGAAAAGAAAGATTGATTTTAATGAAATATGTAGGTGGCGCTGGCGTTTTTGACTACTGACGCCACCTATACAACTTCGTAAATGTGCTAAACAGTTCAGTTGTTGTCGGAGTACTGTTACGTGAGGTTGTCATTGCATTATGTCAGAGTTAACAGACTTCGAACGTGGGCAAATTGTTGGAGCACGTATGGTAGGTGCTTCCGTAAGCAAGGTAGCCGAGGTGTTTAGTGTTTCAAGAGGTACTGTATCGAAGATTTATTCCGCATATTTGAAAAGCGGAACATCATCTGCTAAATCACAGTGCGGACGAAAGTGTGTCCTGAGTGATCGTGACAGACGATCATTAAGGGCAATTGTGACGAAAAATAAGACCACAGCTGCAAAAGTTACTGCTGAAATGAATATTGTGTTACCGAACCCTGTGAGTACCAAAACAATTAGAAGGGAACTTCATAAACAGGGAATTGCTGGCCGTGCTGCAATTGAGAAGCCACTCATCAGTGATGCTAATGTCCGTAACAGGAAAAGGTGGTGTTTAAGTCATAAAGCCTGGACTATAGAGCAGTGGAAGTGAGTAATATGGTCTGACGAGTCTTCTTTCACATTGTTTCCCACTTCTGGCCGAGTTTACGTCTGGAGAACGCCATCTCAAGCCTATAATACAGACTGCTTGTTACCAAAAGTGAAACATGGCGGGGGTTTTGTTATGGTTTGGGCAGCCATATCGTGGTTCTCTGCTAGCCCCATGATAACTGTGTCAGGGCACATGACTGCCAAGACTTATGTGAACATTTTGGCCGATCAAGTTCATCCCATGGTACAAACTTTGTTCCCCGATGGTGATGGTGTCTTCCAAGACGACAAAGCCACTGTTCACACAGCTCACATTGTCCAGGACTGGTTTTCTGAGCACGAGGATGAGTTGTCCCATCTCCTCTGGCCACCACAGTCACCAGACCTGAATATTATCGAACCTTTGTGGTCTACATTGGAACGGAAAGTGCGTTCTCGTTATCCACCGCCAACATCGTTATCTGAACTTGCCACCGTTTTGCAGGAAGAATGGTATAATATTCCCTTGGCAAACATACAGGAACTGTATTTATCCATTCCGAGAAGACTGCAAGCTGTTTTGGATGCCAACGGGTTTCCTACACCATATTAAGCAAAGAAACATGTTTTTTTAAAGGTGTTTCCATATTTTTGTCCAGCCCCTGTATTTTCATTTGGTCAAGGCACATATTGCTGTTATCGGGAATGAAAGGGCGGATATGCTAGCTAAAGAGGCTGCCCTGGGACAGGGTGATATTTATGACACTATTAATGACTCCAGAAGAATTACCTTGAGAAAAATGAAAGCAAGCATAATCGAGAAATGGGCTCGGGAATGGAATGGTTCAAATAAAAATAAGGGTTACTTGAGGATTTTGACCGTAAAAAGAAAAATGGATCTCTTTAATAATATAGATACTATTCAAGTTATCACGGATCATGATAGATTCCCGGCCTATTTAAAACGTTTTAATCTCCAGGGCAATGATCAATGCTTGGCTTGTGGGAAGTACGGAAATGCAGCTCATTTTATGGAAGAATATAAATTGACCGAGAGTGTGAGGACGAGATTTGGAAAAATAAATGAACAGAATGTAATTGAAAAAAGAAAATTCTTGAATAGCTATGCAACAGAAATTATGAGGATTGTGAATGAAAACAAGACTATCATAGGAATAGGACTTTAAATATTTTAATCTTTTATTTATTTATTTATTGTTTGTTTGTTTGTCTGCGTCGGGTATGCTGCGTTAACCATGAGGCCGATTATTGTCGGCCAGGAGGGTTGCAGCATACTCGTAAACTAAACTAAACTAAACTAAACCCTGAGAAAGGGAGGATGATATCGTGTTCCAGGCTCTCTCCAGATACAGGTTCGCCGAGAGTCAGTGTCCGGGCTGAATCTCGACTCATCTGTAAAAGGGTAGAGTTTACGTTACGTTTCTAACAAGCTACTTTATGTTAATGACCCTTACTCTCTTTCTCGCTTTCCGTTTATTTTTGCCAGAATGCTAATTTACAGTTCGCGCATATTTAAACAAGGTAGAAAGAGACAGTATTTGAAGGAAGGTTTTACATGGCAGAACCAGAGCGTGTTCTGCCTGCCTGAACCCCACGTTGCTACTTTGATTCTCTTGTTAATATTCTGCGGCGTTGCGTTATTCTCGCCATTAGGCTTGCTACGCCGACCTCAGGTCACAGCCAGCTTGAGCGTTATTCTATTTGTGCAGCCATTAGCCTAACTTACTTGTCTTAGTTTTAGCTCATCCATTATCTTTGATTTAAGCCAAAATTGTTGGCTTCTGTAAGCATGAGTGCTGCCGTCTGATAAATTTTATCTTAGTGCAATAAAAGGGTCCACGCAATATTATAGGATACATAGAGCTGCCCAGATGAGATAGTGATCAGTGTCGCTGACTGCAGAAACGAAAGGTTCGAATTTGAACCCCGGAAAAGGCCTGAAGGCTTGTAAGCGTATAGTGTCTATGTAACAAGAGGCACTCAAAATACACGGCGAGTCGAAATCATCTCGAGATATTGGTGGTAAAGGAAGAGAGGTGGGAGACCCTCGGACCACCTACCGGAGTGTACTCCCTCGGAATTCCAACCGTGTCGAAAGTTTAACAGTTAGCTAGGCCTGTTGTTACCTAAGATAGCTGGATAGATGGATGCATAGGTGCCGGTTTGGCTTAAACTCTACCCGCAGGATACACACTCAGATTGGATTAAATTTAGTGTCCACCGATTAAAGTAACAAAAAAAACTTAAAAGTTTAGGAATACGTTGTTTTTCCTTCCTGGATGTGGCAAGAACGTAACACAACGTATATAAATGATATTCGTATACCAAATATTATAATCTTATTCACACGGAAAGTTTTCCCAGTTTAAAAAGAAAAATATAATGAAACTGAAAAATCACAGATGTCATTTGACAATATAGTGATTACTGTATTACATATATAGTGACAATATAGTGATTACTACTCGATTGCTGTATTATATAAAAGATTGAGTTGGCAGACTGTACAGTAACTAATAATAAATGAAAAAGTTGAAAAAAGGAAACAAAAACATATTTAGTGTTTATAATTATAGTTCAAGTGTTAAATAGATTTTATAATATATCTGAGATTCTAGTGATTTGATATCATACCTGCCGGATATGAGGTTCTAGTGTTGCCTCATTAAAACCAATAATAGCAAAACATGTGGAAACTGCAACGATGTCAATGCAGAAGTCGATATTTGTTATTAACTTTCTCAAGCTGCGTGACTGAGTAGGAATTTCAGCACCTGTAAAATGATAATGGAAACATCTCTGAATGACATGTTCATCAAATTTCATCACAATCTTAGCTTTTGATAAACTGCTATTAAGAAGCTTTTACATATTGCAAATAAAATGTCAACGTAAAGTACAATAACGGACGCAGTCCCAGTCCACCTAGCCGAAACATTTTCAGTCCAGGCAATGGCCTTTCATTTCAACAGCGGAACTAGAAAAAAAAACAAAACAGGAAGACAAAATACGATTGGTGCATAATCTCGGGTTCCACCAGACTTAACACATACACGAAAAAAAAAAAAAAAAAAAAAAAAAAAAAAAAAAAAGAGAGAGAGAGAAAGAGAAAGCAAATGTAAATACAAATCAAAAAGAACTGGTGTTAATCAAATAAAATTAAATACTTTTAAAATCTGTGTATGTATACACTAATCTAAAATCTCTATACGTATGAAGACTCTTTACTTTTATTGATAATATACATGGCGCGTCTTGCTAATTCTTCCCTAATTTTAAAAATGGTGTTTCTATCGAAATATTTAATTGCTTCCTTGGTACTCTGTGTAACTAGACAGGTCTCGACAAAGTCGCATCACTACGTTCCCCGCACATTTTGCAGCTGTAATAGGACTGCAATCCAAATGCATTGAACTAAGCAGGGAATAATCCACGTACAGTAATAATCTTATTCTAATCCATATCACTTGGTGTTTTCCTTTTTTTTTGGCTAATTTGAATATTTAATATACAATTTTTATATTTCAGTTACTGCTCTCTAATTCCTCCAGTTATCTAAAGTTTATTATTATTCATAACCGTAATAAGTGTCCCTTGGATGTTTAGGATGTGTTCTCCATCACCTCTTTGGCTAGTGCATCAGCTCTCTTATTGTCATGAAAAACAACGTATCCTTCTCTCCAATGGAATTAAGTCTGGAAGAGCTCGTTTTGTCTGGAGAGAAAGGGTTTAAGAGGAAAGAGCCTGAAGTGTCGAGAAGGCATTTTAGTATTTCCTGATAAAAATACGTACGCAAAAGATTTTCACCAGTCTAATTTACGGCACACGTGATTGCCAGAAATTCTGCCAATATCCAGGCAAAATATTAATTACAATGCAAAGTAAACTGCTGAGATTAGCTGGTGAAATAAGTCGCAGAATTTTCATCGATATTTATTATACTATCGATCAGACAGGGCTTCTTAAACTTTTTCAGTCGGGACCCCTCTTTATCACTGCGATTTTTTCGCGACCCCAGGACCCCATAATGTTTAATGAAAATTTTGGGGGACCCCATAAGCATTGCGCAAATCCGACACACGCGTGAGTGAAACTGTCAGTGTTTTCACTTGTACTGTAATATACTATTGCAGTTTTAGGTCATTAACTTTAATTTCAAATTTTAAGACATAGAACAATATGAAAATTTTAAATAACAGACGAAATGAGAGCATCACGTGCAAGTAAAATGAACGTTTATATTATAAAAAGAATGCGTCGAAACGTTTTTGTTTTTTTCTTTGTCTGTATTGTCTTATATTTATCTATTTTCAGATACATTGTGTAAAAATATTTGGTAATTGTAAAATTATTATACTAAGTTAAAGAAATATCAAAACTGCTAAAATTTTGGCGCCTCCTGCTGCAGATCCCGCGAACCCCATGGGGGTCGCAACCCACAGTTGAAGGAGCTCTAGCTTAGACCAACGATTCTTAACGTTTTCTCAGGGCCGAGCGGTAAAGTCGCTGAACACTGGTAGTTCGGTCCGAGGTTCGAATCCCGCGAACGGGCTGGCTGCATGGGCGTTTTCGTGGTTTTCCCCATGTGTAACGTGCATACGAGTCAGTTTCCCTTAGAAAGTCCTCCACGAAGGCATCTCTCCCCTTAGGCAGATAGCCCTAGTGTGCTTTGCCATACTTAAATACACACACACACACTTAAGGTTTTCTCTCTCGTTTACCGCTTAATAAGACATTGTAATAGTTTAGAGCAGTGCTCCGCAACTTTTTCTCACCTGCGACGCACAAAAAATCTTTCTGGAATTTCGTGGCACACCAAAGAGTTCCGAGTTATCAACGAAGTGCCGAAAAAATTCAAATGCTGACACACTTACAATCACACACACAACCACACAACAGTGAAATATATAAAAACATTTAAAATATACATTATTGAGGGAAAAAAATTGTCATTGTGTATTAAATACATGATAAAAAATTGCAAAATGTCAAATACATGTATTTCATTGAGGCACACCTATATCCTACTCATGGCACACCGGTTGCGGAGCACTGGTTTAGAGTACACCTAAGCGCCTCTTTCAGAACTATGAACCCCTTGCCGCAGACTTTTACTACCGTCAATATACCTTACCTCTATATTATTCTAATATCATAAAATTAATAGATTGCAATGATTATGGTGAAAAAGCTTGCGGAAAAAGTGATCTGTGTCAAAAACGTATCCATCGCTAAAGGAAATTAGGAAGATTCTAGTAATGGAGATGTATAAGAATCGGAATTCATTGAAATGATTATGATGATCAAGAGTTTGAAAAATTAAAATTAAGAATGTAAAAAATTGTGCATGGACGAAGACCAAAACGATAAGGATTTGTAGGACATTTTCGAGCTTCGCTGACTGCCGTGCCGAAAGGTCCGGGTTCAAATCCCGGAGAAGGCTTGGATGTTTGTAAATGTATAGTGAGCTTGCGGCACGGGGACACTCTAAATTTGGAGACTAGCCACTGCAGCAATGGACAAGGTCTCAACTCTCCGGCATAGTACGGATGTTTATAACGTTTGTCTTTGTATAATGTGATGGCACCTATCTATGCAAATATCCTTTTGAAAGGCTGGTATGCCCCCGGTTTTTCTCGATTAGAACTACGAAATAATAAAGATATTATTTTCGCTACCAATGATCAAGGTCTATGGTAATGTAAGTGCATCTTCTCGCCCATTCATATATAGGACTGGCAATAACACTGTACAATGATGGACGCATCTCTAGAAAGAATGCCATGAAATATAGTGACTTCTATACTGAGCCATGCTTATGAAACTTTCTATCAGCTTTCTGGCTTTCTCGGTGATGTTTTTTATTATTAAATCTAGATACATCGAACTGCATGGAGTAGCTGATTTCTTCAGGGAACAATTATGTCTCATCTGTTCCTCTCTGAGTTTTCCAGTACCAGGCGTATTGCAGAGCATAAACATTCGGAAATTTAAAGATATTCATACATCATTAAACATTGCATGTAAGAAGCTAAAAGAAGGTCAAACTTATCAGCATAATCTAAACACTGAGCTGCGGTATTTAAAATGAATTCATGCTAGGCGTATCTTTGAATTAAAAAAAAGTACGACCTACCATTCTCAGCAAATAAGAACATGTTTACTGCTGTTCCAGACAGAAGTAATGCTCCTACAACCATGAAAGGAAGGAGAAAGCCTCCTGCCTGTGGGAGAAATTATTAAATTATGTATGCTGCTATATTTAGTAGCCTTTATTGTAAAATAATGCAGAAATTATTAAGTTCTTTACTTGAATAATAAATAATAATATTCGGATAAAATACAGATCAGTGAAGAGTAAACTTGGGCTCAGAAATACATTTTATCTCAATAAATACGAGTAATATAATAAAACTTTAAGGTGCATGAATTACATTAAAAAATTCCGACATTCCTCCTACATATTCTTCTGGGATAACGGTTTTTGACGATAGTTCCACGGTCTGGTCTAATATAACGGGAAGATGCCACGATAGATCTCATTAGTTATATCTAAAAAGTTAATAAAATACAATTTATCCCAGGCAATGTAAGGATGCTACTTTCCGGCGATTTATTTTCCATAAAATTCAGTCCAAAAATAACATACGAACTTTATACGCGTATCCGATCAATGGAATAATTCTATTCGCAACCTCTTGTATACGGATTATTTTGAGCAGAAAGCTGCAAAGTTCCTTAGACAAGTGGGCAACTCCATTGGTTCAGTATTAGATAACAGTGCGAAAGCATATATTATATATATATATATATATATATATATATTATCTTACATATATATATATATATATATATATATGTAAGATAAAATTATGTGAATCAGAATAACTAAAAACATTAGTTCTTCCTCTCTATTCTAAAATCGTAATAACGTATCTGCATTGCGTCATTCAAATTAATCATGCGATCTTACGTAACCGTTAATACCAGATGCCTCTTGACCAATCACCGAATTGTAAACCAAAACTTTCCTCTTCGCGTGCTTCCATCTTTCATAACTACGCACTTCAGCTTTTGCCCTCTTCTCTGCTAATATGTAATTTTCGCTGGCTTGCTTTCTATCTCAACAATATCAAAAATGTAAATCTTCTGTGAAAAGGCACGACTAGAGTGCCAAGTGATTGTGGTCACAAATATCAATTGGAAATAAAAATGGAATTAAAACTGCCTCGACTGCCAAGTTCTTTAAATACTACGCAATCAAAATTCTTTTTCAATATGGATCTAAGCACGCATCTACAGTGAGTGTTTACAGATTGAAAGTAATATCTCGATAAATTGAGCAGTTTGAATGCCTAGTGAAAAGGAAATCATCAGTGAATTACCGTTTAGGAATTAAGCATTACAGCGGGTTGAAGGTCGATCTGAGTTAGTGTTTGCAAGTATGTGCGACAGAAATTTATTTGCACTTCCGCTTTTTCAACAGCTCGAAAATTATTACATTCGTGTAAATCTAGCTCAGGAACTAAATTATTTAATGTGCTGCGGATTCTATAGTTTTCATTTCAACTTTGGTTAAAATTTCTGCAATTTGGTTTGAGAAAATCTGAAATTCTTGTTCATTAATTTTTCTAATTTTTCATAAAATGTGTGTGAGCAAATTAAGTAACGAGTTTTAAGCTATTTAAATTATTCATAGGGAAGGATCTTAAGATAAGTTTTTATGTTTTTGAAAATTTGTTGAGAATTTTGAATACGAATTTTATAATTATTCTAAAAATAAAGATGTTAAAAATAAGTGAAATTAGTACAGATACGTAATATGAAATTATGGTAAATGCATGTTAAAATTTATGGCTTATTGTGTGTTAAGTATAGTATGATGAGGGTGTACTGGTTCCTTCAACAGAGGCCTGTAATTACCTCTGTACAGTTGTTCCTTTTACCCTCTTCATGCAAGATAATGTTGGAGGCTCTCATTTTATGAATGCATGTAAATTTTTATATTATTATTATATTTTTTTTATTATGGAATGCATTAATGCAGTTCTCAAAGGCCAGTTACCTAATGCAAGGAACGGAGGCCTTTTCAAGTAACTGCCTAGGCACCCTGGTCCACCAGTGCAGAGAACACACTGGTTAGCTCAAGAGGACAGCCCTATTGATGGATAGTTTGTTTAGAAACTATTGCGAGGCTTCCAGTTTGGTAAAATCAGGAATTGTAAATGAAGATGATAACGGTGAAACCATAAATTCTGAAAATCTTAATCCGATATTTATGATGGTTAAATTATAACTTATCAGTATAAAAATAAGTATTATAAATATTTATGTGCTTTGCACTTAATTATAAGTAATGATATATAACTTATCAGTATAAAAATAAGTATTATAAATATTTATGTGCTTTGCACTTAATTATAAGTAATGATTATGTAAAAGTTTATTTTGTGAGATTCTGTAATAACAAGAACCTTCCTTGAAGAATTATGATTATGTGAACTCTCAAACAAAAAGACTTTTGGACTCAAATGCTGAAAAATTCAATAGGACTCTAAAAATTAAAAATTTATTCAAAAAATTGATGTTTATAAATTTTACTTTACAGGACAAAATTTTTATGATTTATGATTTTTTTTTTTACATTTGCTAGTGTTTTAACTCTTTCTATTTAAAAAGGCTTCTCTGTCTTCTTTTTCTCTTTCTTCTTTTTCTTTTTAAAGGGGGGAATATGTAAGATAAAATTATATGAATCAGAATAACTAAAAACATTATTCTTCCTCTCTATTCTAAAATCGTAAAACTTATCTGCATTGCGTCATTCAAATTAATCATGTGATCTTACGTAACCCTTAATGCAGATGCCTCTTGACCCAATCACCGAAACTGCAAAGCAAAACTTTCCTCTTCGCGTGCTTCCATCTTGCATAATTACACACTTCAGCTTTGCTCTCTTAGTGTGCCAAGATGCAATTTCACTGACCTGCTTTCTATCTCAACAATATCAAAAATGTAAATCTTCTGTGAAAAGGCACGACTAGAGTGCCAAGTGATTGTGGTCACAAATATCAATTGGAAATAAAAATGGAATTAAAACTGCCTCGACTGCCAAGTTCTTTAAATACTACGCAATCAAAATTTTTCAATGGATCTAAGCACGCATCTACGTGAGTGTTTACAGATTGAAAGTAATATCTCGATAAATTGAGGCAGTTTGAATGCCTAGTGAAAAGGAAATCATCAGTGAATTACCGTTTAGGAATTAAGCATTACAGCGGGTTGAAGGTCGATCTGAGTTAGGTTTGCAAGTATGTGGACAGAAATTTATTTGCACTTCCGCTTTTTCAACAGCTCGAAAAATTATTACATTCGTGTAAATCTAGCTCAGGAACTAAATTATTTAATGTGCTGCGGATTCTATAGTTTTCATTTCAACTTGGTTAAAATTTCTGCAATTGGTTGAGAAAATCTGAAATTCTTGTTCATTAATTTTTCTAATTTTTCATAAAATGTGTGTGAGCAATTAAGAAACGAGTTTTAAAGCTATTTAAATTATTCATAGGGAAGGATTTAGATAAGTTTTTATGTTTTTGAAAATTTGTTGAGAATTTGAATACGAATTTATAATTATTCTAAAAATAAAGATGTTAAAAATAAGTGAATTAGTACAGATACGTAATATGAAATTATGGTAAATGCATGTTAAAATTTATGGCTTATTGTGTGTTAAGTATAGTATGATGAGGGTGTACTGGTTCCTTCAACAGAGGCCTGTAATTACCCTCTGTACAGTTGTTCCTTTTACCCTCTTCATGCAAGATAATGTTGGAGGCTCTCATTTATGAATGCATGTAAATTTTTTATATATTATTATATTTTTTTTATTATGGAATGCCTTAATGCAGTTTCAAAGGCGCAGTTACCTTAATGCAAGGAACGGAGGCCTTTTCAAGTAACTGCCTAGGCACCCTGGGCCACCAGTGCAGAGAACACACTGGTTAGCTCAAGAGGACAGCCTATTGATGGATATGTTTGTTTTTAGAACTATTGCGAGGCTTCCAGTTTGGTAAAATCAGGAATTGTAAAGAAAGATGATAACGGTTGAAACCATAAATTCTGAAAATCTTAATCCTATTATTTATGATGTTAAATTATAACTTATCAGTATAAAAATAAGTATTATAAATATTATGTGCTTTGCACTTAATTATAAGTAATGATATTATAACTTATCAGTATAAAAATAAGTATTATAAATATTTATGTGCTTTGCACTTAATTATAAGTAATGATTATGTAAAGTTTATTTTGTGAGATTCTGTAATAACAAGAACCTTCCTTGAAGAATTATGTTATGTGAACTCTCAAACAAAAAGACTTTTGGACTCAAATGCTGAAAAATTCAATAGGACTCTAAAATTAAAAATTTATTCAAAAATTGATGTTATAAATTTTACTTTACAGGACAAAATTTTATGATTTATGATTTTTTTTTACATTTGCTAGTGTTTAACTCTTTCTATTTAAAAAGGCTTCTCTGTTTCTTTTTCTCTTTCTTCTTTTCTTTTTAAAGGGGGAATATGTAAGATAAAATTATATGAATCAGAATAACTAAAACATTAATTCTTCCTCTTATTCTAAAATCGTAATAACTTATCTGCATTGCGTCATTCAAATTAATCATGCGATCTTACGTAACCGTTAATACCAGATGCCTCTTGACCAATCACCGAATTGTAAACCAAAACTTTCCTCTTCGCGTGCTTCCATCTTTCATAACTACGCACTTCAGCTTTTGCCCTCTTCTCTGCTAAGATGTAATTTCGCTGGCTTGCTTTCTATCTCAACAATATCAAAAATGTAAATCTTCTGTGAAAAGGCACGACTAGAGTGCCAAGTGATTGTGGTCACAAATATCAATTGGAAATAAAAATGGAATTAAAACTGCCTCGACTGCCAAGTTTTTTAAATACTACGCAATCAAAATTCTTTTTCAATATGGATCTAAGCACGCATCTACACTGCTCCGTCTTATTTTCCTTGTGCTTTTATTATGACATATATATATATATATATATAGACATATTTAATACTTTCGCTAACTTATATGAATTTCTCTGACTTGCATGAATGTCAAAAAAAGGTGTAAATAATGCTCATTGTGTTAGTGCCTGAGAATATTTAACAGCCTGAGCAAGGTTGAGTCTATAATTTCAAATCGTAATCCTAAAAAGTCTCAGGCTATATCATAATTTCAAAGAGAGCAAATCCTACCATATGAAGTTATCGCGCCTGATTGCTACTTCATAAATATTTGTCAACCATTAAACACCTTCCCAAATTCACGGAAATATGCTCCCATCTTTGCAATCAAAATACTAGGAAAAGACAAGAAAACCCTTACTAGCTTATGGGCCGGTCAGCTTGTTACCTGCGATTGCGAAGTTATTTGAAAAGATTATTTGGTTCTGAATCGATAATTTTCTTTCAAGAAATAACCCAACTCTTCTCTACTAAGTTTGAATTTCGCTATGGATTTTTTAAGTGTACACCAAGTGCTAGAATCACTGAAAGTATAGCATAAAATTTCAATAAAAAGAAAATGGTTGCTTCAGTTTTCATTGACACAGAATAAGCTTTTTGACAAAAGTAGGAATTAAGAAAATGAACAAAATAAATTAGTCTAATATTTAAACTAACAGAGCTGAGAGTATTATTGAAAAACATTTGCAACAGAAACGAAGATTCTTGAGTTATAAAATACTGATATCAAGTAGAGCGCAATTTGTTTGAAGATTTTTATTTTCCTGCTATTTTCCTTTTGTAATAATCCTAAAATATTGTTATGTTACAGTGTTGTAGCATTTATCTTATATACTGAATATGCATGCATATCAACAATAATGAAACAAACATTTGCAATAAATTTTATACTTTCCTCATATAGAACTCCTCCAAGAACTGGACCACCAGCAAGGCCAAAGGCGAAAGCTGTTTCAGTCAGTGACTGAAATACAAACGGTAAATTACATAGATATTTTTACTGTTATTAAAAGCAGTTTCTTGTCACTCCCAGAAACCATACTTGAATTGGAAAGTAATCGTATAACTTACCATAGCTCTTCCAATAATTTCTGGTAGCTCGCTGCCAATAGTTGTGTATGAAGCAGTAAGGAAAGCTGACGCTCCTAAGGCATCTATGGTTCGAATGGCAATAGCTAATCCAATAAATGTATTCGCATCAGGAGCATGGTGCAAAAAACTGAAATCAAAGTAAAACGTAAACCATTTAATAACAGCTTTCTGTATAAAAAAAGATAATATTATATAGATGATTACTTTCATTATAAAGTTAGACAATTTCTACTCATCGAGTTTCCTCCTGCAGACATTTTTATTAATTTTTATATGCACCACAGCAAAGATCACTCTTCAGTTGATAGTTTTCTCGAATCTCTATTTGATTTCAAAAAGATTTTGTTTCCTTAAGGCGAATATGCAGTAACACGAATTATTTTAAATTATATTTTTTCTTCATTCCTTCCTGCCTCTTTTTTTTTCGTATACCCGCGTAAATGCACTAAAACATGCAGAAATAATCATTTTCACAAATTATCAATCAGTCTAAGCTATTATCGAAAGCACAATTCACTAATATTTAACTATATTGCTTCAGAAAGTTTAACAGATCGAGATAGCTCAGACCATAACTATTAAGGCAAAAAGGCATACATTTAACTTAACAGAGGTGTAAACGAAATAGCAATTTATTGTGCTTTGCAGACTTGGTACATTTTAACAATCTGAAAAAAAAAATTAAATGTTATTTTTCAAAAAATGCATAACTGATGAGAAAAACGTTTTATTTTTTGGTAAAGGTAACGGAATATGTCCACCCTAGTGTAACTGAAGGCTTGACACGTCTCCGCGATGTAGATCAAGGTATCAGACATTTTAATTAGTAGCAAAGCTAATGCACATTTGAACTCTCTCTGCAGTTCACCCAGTAATCTTAGAGCGAGGAACAGGGCAGTTTTCTTTTTCTTATGCGTCAAAATAAGTGTTCAGTCGAAGTGAGTTTTGATGATTAAATTGGCCAATCCATTAGCTAAATATTGTGGTCTTCAAGGCAATGGTTATCTACAGTTGCTGCTTTAGATTAGACACGGATTTTAAAAGAAGCGAATCATTTATAATTGCAACACATGTTTTTCATTTATCACGGACTTCTTCCCAGCACATCAGAACATTCTGACATGCATTAGCAAGCATGCAGAAGTTAGTTTGGGTACTCAAAGAAAATTGTTGCTTAACAAAGTACTGCATCTCTTTTAAGAATATTGGACTGTTATACAAGGAGCCGATGACAAACCGAATCGGACATGGCCGAGGAGGAACCGAAAAGTGTCAGTGCATTCGACGATAGGATTGCGCCACAAAACACACAACATAAGCCTTCTTGGAAACAGTGAACTCAGTTTTCACGCCTGAGAAGATTGTCGCGAGGGATCTGATTCCACCTGATCGTCTTTCCAACAGTGATTTTTATTTGTGGGGCAACCTGGAAGACAAAGTTGCCAGAACAATTCACGAACTTTTGATGCACTAGAACACAATATACTCAACGCCATCATCAGCATCTAATGGGACGATTCACAGCAAGCTGCACTGAACGCCAGACTCTGCCTGGATCATGCCGGTCAGCATTTCCAGCACTGCTTGTAAAAGATAGAGCAACGAACATAAGTAGGCTTTTGACTTTCATCTACCTATACAATATTGCCTTACAGTTGGTGTGTTCTTCGCTTGTTTTGGCTTTGATTTGTCTTGGATCAACCCTGTACCGTATTCCTCATACTGTATAGATCATGACATCACATAACTTAAATTGTAGACAATAGATTCATCTATGAACATTATACTGAGCTCCTCTGTTTGTTGTATGAGATATGCTGTTGTGTGCGTTGTATTCGAGCTACCCTTCATAAACAAGTGAACGCGCGAAAAGACCTTCTAGCAAGCAGGTTTTGTATGTGAGGCCTTTTTCACATAGTTTTGAATATAATATTTATTTTCCTGTTGCCACAAATAAAATGGGAAACAAGCCGAGACTCCAACTGTTCCTTTCTAGAGAGAAATGTATAATATAGGTTAGAAATGCATCATCAATCAGTGGAATAATTCAACTGTTCCTTTCTAGAGAGAAATGTATCATCTAGGTTAGAAATGCATCATCAATCAGTGGAATAATTGATAATGCTCTTCAAGAAATTATAAATTCTCTATGGAACTGATGCTACAGACTATCGATGATACTACGACTAACATTTAATGGGTTTGACCTTTTAATTTATCACAAGCCCATTTCCACTAAGCAAACTGCTCATTTCCATTGCCAGCTGATTTGTAGGTGCTTTATTTTTTTACCGTAATATTTTCGAAGACGATGTTCGTACCATGATGTTTAAGAACTCTTTGCTTTCGTTTCTCCTACGATGTTTTGTACGACGACGTTTTCATTTTGTGTTGTTTCTTCCGGCGACGTTTTCGTCTGAGATATTTTCGGAAAATAAATCATTATCGCCTTTCGCTGTCAGGCTATTGTGATGATCCATGGTTCCATGGTTCAAATCCCGACGATGGTGCAAATGTTTAATGTTTCCTGAGTGGAAAGGAAAAAAGAAAAACCGAAGATTTTCTCCAGTGGCTTCGCACCTGAATTAAAATGTGGGCATAGCAAAATCATCACCACCAGGAGTTAGTCGACTGGGTCCCCTGCTTCTCCCAAGCACCCCTTTCATCGGTTGAGCATACAAGGAATTGCATTTTCTTATCCTGCTCTCATTATGTAAATAGTTTTAAGTGCCAACAGCAAACTGAAATATCTGTGGTTTCATTACTAGGGAATATATGGCTAATTTTTCTTATTTCCTGCTTCGGAAAAAAAACAAAAAAACCTAATAGTAGTAGTAATACAAGTGGTAGTTTCCACTTACGTAAACTATGCTGGCATTTTTACAGTATTACATTAGCATTTGGTAAAAATCCATACTTTTATTATATCTTTTCCTTTGAATTCACAGAAGAAAACTCTTTGTTACTTAACGTTTTGAAAGTAGTGAACTTCATTTACTTATACACTGAAGAATAATACAGGATTTTGATATTTGTTACATTACAACGTATTCTCAACATTATTGCTTAGAACAATAGTCCAAACCTTTTAGAAATGCTATGCGAAGTAACGTTGCAAAGTCATTTAGTGAGCCAACTTAAGTCTATCAAATTTTTACATGCAGCAACCATTGAAACACATTACCTTGATTTAAATATTTACATGTTTAAATAATTAAATAACTTTTCTATTCCTTGCTGATTATTCAATATTTTAATACAATCAGGAACAGATACAAAAACTGTTTTTTAAAATTTAAGGTTGAAACACACTGAGTGAAATTTGGTTATAATAGTTTGAAAAATGACTTGGTGTGAAATTTTTTCCAACAGTTTAAAAAGCAAAATAGTTACAAAATAGTTACTTAAATCATGTATTTACAACGTATAATGAGTACTCAATGATATTTATTGAGCCGAGTCATCTATGACTTAATGGGACCCTTACTTCTTATTTTATATGAAATTTATAAGGAATTACTTTAATTTTATAAGGAATTATCACCTTCCCCCGCGCGTGCTCTAGTACTGTAACTGGTAGTACATCCGGTAGTACAACTGGTAGTCCATCAATCATGCTAAAAATATACATCTTACTGCTAGCAGTCGTAAGATACATGGTTCGAATCCTACCAAGGGCAAAGCTGATTTTTCACATTTTCTGCTCCAAAAGAACAGAATGTCTCCATAACCTAATGTTTCAGTATCAGGCATATTCAACAACAGTTAATATTTAGATGTTGGGTTCTGTAGTAGAGTAAGAGTAAAATCTCGGAAAAATATTTGTAAGCTATTTTAAAAATCGTGAATGAAAATGTTGCTTATGAGATGAATCGAAAGTAATGTTAAACATACAAGAAAATTAAATGAAAAAAAAGAACTTTTATTTATTGAGAACATATCTAGAATATAAGATTACATATTTTACCTAGATTTCGTTTTACTATACTTAATATACTTTCCTCTCAAATTACAAAAGATGAACTGTATATTTTTGCCAGAATCTTTCTTGTTTGGTATATATTTACGGCTTGTCCCAATAGAGTTTGGTGTCATATTTAATTGATTTCGAAATTCTTTCTGCGATTATCTCCGAGTACAGAATGCTGATCTTGCTAGTTCTCGATTAGTTTTTATCTGAAATAATTTTAGTTTTTAAGCTTTAAGCAATTTTAACTAATTTTACATTAATCACACCTTTCCATGAGTAAGACATCGTCTAATTATATACACACTAAGTTTGGGAAATTGCCTTACATCTCAAACTTCTATGATCTAAGATCTAAACCTCTAAGATTTCTAAGATCCATTTCACCTCAGATTCGCTGGAAAATGTACTTTGCTGCTTCAAAGTGTAATTTGGAGTAATCTTTACAATAAAAAGCGATCGTCCGCTGAAAGACAAGACAGCCAAACGCTGAGGAAGCAAATACCACATTGTTTCTTGGAAAGCTGCTAAACATTTCTGGAAAAATTTAAAGATAATAAGATAGTTGTCAAAAAAATTAGATGAAAGAAAAAAGCAAGGCTATTACTTCTAGAAATCAACATATTTTTATAACGGCAGTCACCAGATGCAATTCACTACTCGATAGTTATCACCGGATACAGAACTGCAGCTAGAACCTCTACAGAAGTTGATGACGTGAACAACGCACACATAAAAAGACATGATGAACTTAAAACGACATCACGAGAGAGGCCTTTAAGCAATCAAGCTTTGGATTTGTGTCTTTCTAACATCACATAAGAAGAACGAATGTTTGGGAATGGTGTAGGTAATATAAGAGTCAAAGACAATGAACTTTTCTAATGTTTAATGACGTCAAGGTACAAATTAGTGCTGATTTTCGGCATACGGATAACAATACTTGAGAAAACCATAAATTGCTGATATCATGCATGGAATTTGAACGTTCAGCAGGTGAATTTATTAAAGCATAGGGAAGTATCATATTAAATTAAATTCGCGTCTTTGTACGTGCTCAGTCAGAAGAAAGACATTCGAAACAACTATTAAATTAAGTTCGCTGAAGAATTTTGCTGACTGATTTTAGAAGCTTCAGCAAACAAACATTGTGTTATAAATGTTTATGACACTATAATGGGGAAAAAAGCATTTAATTTTCA